GCTGGACCAGGGGGGGGAGGCTGTACCGGGGGAGCAGGCGGGGGAGCGGCTGTCAGGAAGAGGGGGGGAGGAGGAACCAGGAGACCTCGACTGGGGTACCTGACGTAGTACGGGGTGGACTCCTCGAAACGGACGTCACGGGAGTCAAAGAACCGGTGAGAGGGAGGGTGGTAAAAGGTGAAGTCAGAGGAGTCCTCAGGGAAACCAAGGAAGACACAAGGAACAGCGCGAGGCGAGAGCTTGTCCGCGGAGGTGTCGCGGACAAGAGCCAAGCACCCCCAGACACGAAACCTCGACGCGACACCAGGGGACCCTGTCCAAAGACTGGTCGGTGAAGCCTCCGGCCGAGAGACGCGTGGCCAGAGGTTCAGCTGGTGCGCGGCGTACCTGACTGCGTATGGCCACAGGAAATGGGGGGCACGGGCGTGAGTCAAGGAGGTGCGGGCAATCTCCATGACCAGGCCTATGCGACGCTCAGCAACCCCATTCTGCTGTGGGGACTCCGGAAGCGTCCAGGACTGACGAATGCCCTGTTCGCGACAGAATCCAGCGAGAATGCCGGAGCGAAACTCGCCCCCGCGGTCGGAGTGGAGACAGCTGACACGACGACCACGAGTGTCCTGGGTGGTAAGCAACCACCTGATCAGCGTAGAAGTCACCTCAGACTTCCTCGCCAGGGGGAACACTGTGGTATAGCGGGAGTAGTCGTCAACGACCACCAAAAAGAAACGCTCACGCTCAGGGCCAGGGCAAGGAGAGGGGCCCCAGACGTCCAAGTGCAGCGTCTCAAAAGGCTCGGTGGCCGGACGAAGGGAGGAGGAGTGAGGGGTGGCACGCAGCCTACCCTCGACGCAAGGACCGCACGGTGGTGCAAGGGACGGCGGCAGCGACGGCAAGACACGCGGGAGACCTAAGACCAGACGCTGACTAGACATAGCACGCAGACGTGGAAGAGAAGGGTGTCCCATCCGGTGGTGCCACAGAACGGTGGGGTGGGCAAGCGACCGACAGGAGCAAGACGCAGCGACTGGACTGGACGCGACAACCTGAGGGGACGGAACCACCTGGTGAGACGCAGGGAGGAGACTAGGGGGAGGGACAGGAACTGGGAGGAGTGGCTGCTGCGACGGCGGCCGCTGTGGCTGCGGCTGCTGCTGCTGCCGCTGCTGAGGCTGCTGCTGCTGCTGCTGCAGTCGCTGCTGAGCGCGCGGGCCAGTGTGAAGAGTGTAGAGACCGGAGCCCGGCTCAGCAGCAAAAGTGGCGAGAGGCTGGTAAGAGTCCCCGTCAACACACACCGCAGTCTCTCCAGAAGGCTCAAACCACACACCCACGTGCTGACTCACAAGGGGTCGCACGCCCACCAAGTTCCGGGAGAACGAGGGGACGTGAAACCCAGTGAGAGACCCAGAAGGAGCAGCCGGACACGGCAAGGTGGTAGTGTGACGCGCGGTGACTGGTCCCGAAGTGGGATCAGCCAGCGCCACAGAAACAGGCGCAGGAAGAGGCGTAAGTGTCGTGCTGTCACGAAAGAAGCAGTGAGAGGCTCCAGAGTCCAGCGTGAACGACAGCGAACCGTCCTCTGAGGTAGCCGCTGGACTAGAGTCTACACAAGAACCTACACTAGCAACAGGCAACTGAGCAAGGCTAGCACCTAAGCTAACAACACCAGAGTAAGCAGAGTCAGAAACACTAGAGTCAACAACAGCATACATAGCATGAGGAGCACCAATCAGATCAACTAACTGCTCAGCAGACATGCCCCACAGAGCGGAGCCGTAGCGCTGAACCAGAGGAAGCCAGTCAAGGGCAGGACCGCCAACCCCGTAGGCCAACCGGACCGTGTCAGTGAGCTGAGCAAAGCACTGACCAGGGGGGTGAAAGCGGCCACAAGGGTGGCCCCGACGAGGACCTGTCAGAACCTGATAGGTGCAGGGAGGGTAAGCAGCACCACGCTGGGGCTGACGCAGCCCCGACCCCGGAGCCAGCTGCTGACGCTGCTGCTGCTGAGGCTGCTGGGAGGAGAGGGGCTGCTGCTGCTGCTGAAGCCGCTGCTGACGCTGAGCCTGGTACCACGCCGCTGCTCCACCTAGCGGGGCCGGCAGTACAGGAGACGACTGACGAGCTCGGGTGTCGCCACCACCAGCAGGCGCAGTGGAGTCACCAGCCGCTGCACGAGAGGTCTCTCCAGACGCTGCACTCCCACCACCGCCAGTCGCAACAGCACCCCCACTACCTCCGCTACCTCCGCCTCCACCTCCACCAGAACCACCTTTCTTGCCCCCCTTGCCGCGGGACCGCGACGCAGTCGTAACAGCAGCTGCAGTCGCGTCAGTAGCGGCAGTGGCAAGAGAGGCAGTGAAGGTGGGTAACTGCGGGACTGTGCACCCGTGGAAGAGTGGGGGGGGCACAGCACCAGAGGCGGCAGCTACCGAGCGAAGGTTGCTCTCGACGTCCTTGAGCGCAGACTCAAGGACCTCAACTGTCAGCTCACTAGGGTGCTTCAGCAGGAGCGCGTCACGTACGGAGGCAAGGCGGTCAGGGAGGCTAGTGGCGATGAAATAGATAGTAATCGCCATGGGGGGAGGAAGCAGTGCAAGCTGTGCCTCAGTGCAAGCAGCGCGGTAACTAGCGTCGAGCGAGCGGAGGTGAGCGATCAAGTCAGCAGAGCGCTCAAACGAGGCGAGATCAGGAAACAGGAACGGGAGGAAAAGACGGCCAAGAGAGACAGTAGCGGGAGTAGAGTAGCGGGCCTTAATCGCAGTGAGGTACGCAGCAGCGGTGCGAACCTGAGTGAAGTGGACCTCCTCTGACTCAGGGAGGAGGCTGCTGAGTGCGATGCAGGCCGCAGCGTCACGCGACGTCCAAGCCGTCCTGTCAGCGCGCTGACGGGCAAAGCGAGCCGTAGCAGCATCGTCAGGGGCAGGACCTAAAGCGGCAGGCTCGGGGGGCTCGGGGAGGTCACCAGTAGCGTGCGACCAGAGGGTCTCGCCCCCCTGGACTTGACTCTCTAACAGACGGCGAGCGCGAAGGAGCCAGACGGAAAAGTCAAGAGGTCTGCCGTCAGCGTCGAAACGAAGAACTCGCGGAGTCGCCATAGCGAAAACTAACGCGAACGAGCAGGCGAGTAACAGCAGGAGGTAAGAGGCAAATTAGGGTTCAGGTGGGACTTAGTCGCAGCGGAAGAGCGGGCTAGAGCGACGGGCCAGGGCGTAGGGTCGACGGGACGGGGGAAAGGGCGGGCACGATGCGACGGGGCAGGGCGACGCGACGGGGGAGGGCGACGCGACGGGGTAGGGAGACGGGACGGGGCGACGGGACGGGGCAGGGCGACGGGACGGGACGGGGACGGGATGGGGCAGGGGCGACGGGACGGGACGGGGCGACGGGACGGGACGGGGCGACGGGACGGGACGGGGCAGGGCCGCGGGACGGGACGGGACGGGGACGGGACGGGGCAGGGGCGACGGGACGGGACGGGGACGGGACGGGGCAGGGGCGACGGGACGGGACGGGGCGACGGGACGGGACGGGGCAGGGCGACGGGACGGGGCAGGGGCAACGGGACGGGGCAGGGCGACGTGACGGGGGGAAAGGGCGCGACGCGACGGTGGGAAAGGGCGCGACGCGACGGGGGGAAAGAGCGCGACGCGACGGGGGGAAAGGGCGCGACTCGACGGGGGGGAACGGGCGCGACGCAACGGGGGAAAAGGGCGCGACGTGACGGGGGGGAAAGGGCGCTAGGCGACGGGGGGAAGGGCGCTAGGCTCGGCACTAGGCGCGGTAACAACGGAACCGGTACGAACGAGAGGTAGGATCAGGCTCGGGAGATACGAACGGAGAACGGAGGAACGGGATCCCACAGGATCCTAACCTAACTGATACCATGTCAAAATGAGAAATGGATGATGCATTGATGTTGGTTGGGGTACATATAGCTAACCCTAAGTTTTGTACCCCCTAAGACAAACCTCACTATAGGCTACAACATTTGACAGTTTGGGTGGAGCGGGAGGATGTTGAGGAGGAGATGGGATGGGATGCTCCGTGGGCGGATGCACCCTACTTGGTAGACATGCGGGTTTAGAGGGTGGGTTTAGGGGGGGTTTTGGTTCGATTGGAGTGCAGTTGGGGTGTTTTGATGGGATGGTTAGATGGGGTTTCAATTGTGTGTGCTATTGGGGTTTTCTTGAGGTTGCGTCTTGTGTTTTTTCTTCCCTTTTCCCGGTTTTTCTTCCTCCTACCGTTTTCTCCCTATTCCCTTCCTTCTTTCTTCTTCTTTCCTTTTTTCTCCTCACGTTATTCCTCCTTTCCTCTTCTCTTCCTGTTCCCACTCAATTTCCTTGCGTAATTGTGCTATTTTGAAAAGTGCTACCAAATGTATAAGGTTGCTACGCAACCCAAATACTGGACATAATAATGGAGGTACGAAAGGACGAACCTAGGAGCGTATAAGTGTAGAGTGATCTGTTCGAATGATACAGTTTCTTCCTGGAGCTCTGCCTGCAAATCAACAGCTCCTCAGGGAGCTGTCATAATCGCCCGTCGCAATCAAAGATCGACACATATCGCTGTGATCGCAAGACGTCGTAAGAACCGTAGGTTTACGACAAGGTGACGGGTGGTAAACTGCTGTCAACCAACCAAGGCTGACAGAATAGGGGCCAGAAAAGGCTCGAGGAGCCGCAGCTACGGGCCGAAAAAATGCGCTGCCAAAAATACAGTGCAACTCAGCAGTACAGTTCGCAATTTCGGCTTGTGTGGAAAGTGTGTGGGGGAATACTTTATGCGCGGCAGTGGGGTCGATTCTGGCTGGATGCTCAATAACATCGCACATTGCAAGATTCATGCGAGTTTCCAATAAACTCTGCCCAACTCATCAGCTCGTGTTTACAGGCAAAGCCTGATCAGGGGACCGCACAGAAACTCCAACATCCAGTGGTTGAGGTTCGGCCAGGGTGCCGAATCAGCTGTACCCAAACCTGGCGTAAATCACCAATCGGATGAGGAATTTGTCAAGACTTGGCCCCTTCGCCTCCCCAAGCCACATTGCCGCCGCCGTCACTTCCCCTCCTCCCCCGCGCCCTCGATGGCCTCGGTCTTGGTGAAATTCACTCGGTCCATCTCTTCAGTTCTTGGGCCTCGGAAATAGCCCTCCCTCGTATGTAAATCTCTGATCTGCATTCGCCTTACAGTTCTCCTTCACGGCACTTCTTGTTGCTACGGTATCATGGATCGGACGGCTAACCATGGTCCGCGCTGTGCCAAGCGCTCATGTGACGCTGCTGTCGAGCCCAGAATGCCAGCAAACGGCGCGCGAAGCGCTACAGAATGTAACCATACGGACATCGCCTGTTACAAAGACAGCATCTCGTACTCCGATGAGGAAGATGCGTGTTCGAGTGGTCTCGGGAATGCCGATTGCTGCGATCATGCGATTTCGCCGCCCACTGGAAAACCTTTCTGGTTCACCGTGCTAGCTTCGAAGAGCTTTGTCCGCGGATGCGCGAAGAGAAGCCTATGGTGGCTGATGCTGGCCGTCGTCGCTGCGTCACTAACTGCTAGAATATTCTTCTCGGGTAAAAGAGCACGTCGCAATTTCCACTCATAGCGGAAGAGCTGCAATTCTGAAGACTGGAAAACGCTTAAAGCAACAGGATCGAAACTTTCTAAGTTTTGATTCTGGCCGTCGTCGCTGCGTCACTAACTGCTAGAATATTCTTCTCGGGTAAAAGAGCACGTCGCAATTTCCACTCATAGCGGAAGAGCTGCAATTCTGAAGACTGGAAAACGCTTAAAGCAACAGGATCGAAACTTTCTAAGTTTTGATTCTGGCCGTCGTCGCTGCGTCACTAACTGCTAGAATATTCTTCTCGGGTAAAAGAGCACGTCGCAATTTCCACTCATAGCGGAAGAGCTGCAATTCTGAAGACTGGAAAACGCTTAAAGCAACAGGATCGAAACTTTCTAAGTTTTGATTCTGGCCGTCGTCGCTGCGTCACTAACTGCTAGAATATTCTTCTCGGGTAAACGAGCACGTCTTTTGAGACGTCTCAAGAGCACGTCGCAATTTTTGAGTCGACTCAAAAGTCTTCTCGGGTAAAAGAGCACGTCGCAATTTCCCCCCTTGCCCTCCCTTTTCCGCCCACCGCCGTAACTCTAGTTCCATCACCTGTAGCTTAGTCACTTTCGCCATCTTCTTCTCCTTCTGTGCCGTAATACACCGTATGTCATCATTTGCATAACTATTGAGAATTCTAAGCGGATGCACAAGCAACGTAAGCATCCCTTGCAGTTCTTCCCGTCTCCATTACCCTGCCCATTTGCCTCATTCCTCTCGTTCCTCTTCGCCTTTCCCTTTCGCCCCTGCCCTTTCTCCGCTATGCCCTTCGCGTGCACGCACTCGTACGCCAGGCCCGACTCTTGGTTGCATGGTCGATCCGTCGCTTGACACAGCCCACCCTGCCTGTGAGTGCGAGCTGATGCGTTCCCATGCCTTTTCCGCCCGTGAACTCGCAATTACACTTCCAGGCATTGTCCGCGTGCCCGCTCAAAGCGCTTTGTAGCTGCACATGCAGAAATCCCGGAGTGAACAACTAGAGGCAATAATAAAGAGATATCTCCAGCCTTCTGCCTTTCCCGATCGCTCTATGATGCTGCTTCATCCCTCTCGCTTCCCTCAAAGACGTTCAAACATTTTTATTTCGTCGTTGGCGCGTACTCGCACGTATCTCCCAGCGAACTAGTCCGCGGCCCATTCTTCCGCCTATGCCTATGTCCACGTGTCTTCTTCCCCCTCAGGGAACGAGTCCGCAACAGTCCCGTTGCGCCAGTTCCTCCTCCGCCGCACACCATCAGGGGACGGCGGAAGCGTCGCCGTCGCCCCGTGGCGCATGTGGGGCTGCGATATGGGGGATCGGCGCGGAGAAAGGGCGGAAGTACGGGCGGGGCTGGGTTTGGATAGCGTGGTGGTACGGACCTCGGCGGAAGCGACGGGGAACTTGGTCGGCGGAAGCGAAGAGGTGGAGGGGGAGGGAGCAGAGTGGGTGGGGTTGGGGGATGGGGTAGCGGCGCGGGGAAAAGGGAGAATTAGTGATGCTGGTTCTAACAAGGACGGGGAGAAAGGAGGGGGAGAGACGGAGAATAAAATGATTGTGAAAGAACGTGTGAGCCACATGGGCATGGAGGGCGGAAGCGGGGATGTGAATGAAGGGGTGTCGGCTGAAGAACATGTGATGGTCGAAGGGAAGGAGTCTGACTCGTTAGGGGGGACAGCAGCGACCACATCAGCAGAAGGAGCAGCAGTTGAAGAAACAGAAGCAGATAAAGAAGCAGCAGCAACGCCAGAAGCAGCCGCAGCAGAGGAAACCACAGATGCAAAAGCAGTCGAGACAGCAGAATCGTCAGCAGGAGAAAGGTCAGAGCCGCTCACAAAAACTGACTCCATTCATCCACCACAGCCCCTCATCCCCCCCACTCAACCAGAGCTGGCGCAACCCTCTATCCAATCCCAAGGTGTAGACATTTTCTTCCAGGGCGAGTTCGGGTATGAGCTGATTGCCGTCCTCCCATTCGCCTACTGGCACCACTTGAACGGCTCCCTCCGCTCCACCACCTCCTGTGGGCGGCATTCATTGGCCTCACTCTACTATTTCAGCCCCAACCACACAGATGATGCCACGTGTCATCGAAGTGACATGAAGGACAATGTCACTGAATATGGGTTTCCTCACGGCATTCATTATAGCCGCATTCCACCAACCTGGCAGCCGCCTCCACTTGCCCAGTACTTCAGGAAGCTTCCCTCTGTATGGCCGGAAATTTCCAAGGGATCCCGGTTGGTGGTTATTGGGAATAAATACGAGCGGGAGTGGGGCCATTCTCCGGTGAATTTCATTGATTTACCGACTCTACTGGGAATTGTTGAGTCATATTTGGATGCGGGATTTTATGTGGTGTACAACAATCCGGGGATGTCACTGGAATCAGACCATCGGCAGGTTATTAGGGACGGCACAGATTTGGGGGACTACGAGGCATTGCAGAAACGGTTTTGGAACAATCCACGGTTGCAGATCATGCAAAATCTTCAAAAGCGGTGGCCAGACCTGGGGTTCAATGACGTGCAGTTCAGAATGTTGGCGCAGAGCGTATGTTTCGTGAGTGTGCAGGGAGGGGGCAGCATTGTGGAGAGCTTCTTTGGTGGAAAGAACATCATCTACTTTCGTGAGGGGCAGGAGGTGAAAGGCAGGGCATATGAGAGGATTTACCCGCAGCTGTCTGGAGCGAAGGTGAAGGTGGTAACCAGTTATGAGGGTCTGGTGAAGAAGGTGGATGGGATGATCAAGAAGAACAAGTGCCATGCTAAACTTCACTAGCATGTGCCCTCTTGTGGGACCAGAAGGAAGGGACTCTTGCAGGATTTCAGTAATAACTTGGGAGAAAATGGGTCATGGGATACGAATACGAAAGACTGGTTATTGAATGCAGACTACTACCAAACCCCTAAATGCATGAAGTCAGTGCATGTGCAGAGTAAGATAAGCAAATAAAATGAGCAATGTTTTCCTTGAAATCGTATGTAAAGGTTTGATACAACAAACAAGTCTGATGTTAAAACCTTTTTCCTTAAAACCTGTTAAAACCTTTGGCCGTTTGTGTGACTTCTTTAGCCGTTTGTAATGTCACTGAAATTGGCTAGCCAGGCATCCGGGCTGGCCAGAGCGGCGTCTCAGAGCCTTCGGCCGTCAACGAAGAGGGGGGAGAAGAAGTAGGCGACAGGAGTCTGGCCGCCGAAGTGGCATCAGAGGTTGCGAGGGCAGCTTGGGAAGAGCATCGTAGGGCAGCCTTTGCCTGCTGCCTGAGCCTACTGCCTGAGCCTGCTGCCTGAGCCTGCTGCCTGAGCCTGCTGCCTGAGCCAGCTACTTTTGCCTGCGCTGCAACCATGGCGACCCTTACTGTTCTCGCTTTTGAGCCTGACGGCCGCCCCATCGAGTTTGACACCTGGCTTAGTGATCTGCGACTTTACCTTATGACTGACGTCGCAGACGGAGTATCACTACTAGCCTATGTCACTGGCACTGTCCCTACTCCAGCTGAGACTGCTCCTGCCCCTGAACGAGCACAGTGGGAGCTCCGCGACGCAGTCGCACGCCTTGTTATTCGCAATCACCTACCGATCTCTGAGCGCGCGCATTTCAACCAGCTTAAGACTGCCAAGACGCTGTATGATGCTGTCGTTGCCCGCTATTCCGCCCCGGCCACAGCCACCGTTGGTAGTCTCATCCTGCCATACCTGTTCCCAGACTTAGCCTCGTTTCACACTGCTGCCGACCTTATCACTCACCTCCGCGCTAGTGACGCCCGCTTTCGAGCCGCTCTTACCGCCGAGTTCCTCGCCACGAACACCCCCCCGCTGTACTTCACCCTCTACATCCTCGTCACCCGCCTCCCTGACACTCTTCGCTCTGTCAGGGATTACTTCCTTGCCAAGGATCCTCCAACTATCACTCTGGACGACTTCGAGCAGCAGCTGGTCGCAGCAGAGAAGAACATCCTCGCTGTCGGTGCTGCTCGTGGCACTCCCCGCACTCCCCTCTTTGAGGGGTGCTCCCCCTCCCCTCTTGACCCCTCCTACGCCTCTGCTGCTACTGCTGTCGACTTCCTCGGTGCGGAGAAGGTCGCAGCGGCTTCCACTCCTGGTGGGAAGCGTGGTGGTGGCAGGAGCGGCAAGGGTGGCAGGGGTGGCGGAGGTGGCGGTGGAGGGAGCGGTGGTGGAGGCGGCGGGGGTGGTGGAGGTGGTGGGGGTGGCCGTGGGGGTGGAGGCGGTGGGTGGGGTGGCGGCAGGACCGGGGGCGGTGGAGGCGGCGGCGGCGGTGGTGGGGGAGGAGGCAGCGGCAGTGGCGGTGGAGGTGGGAGTGGGGGTGGATCTGGCCAGAAGGGTGGCCAGCAGCAGCAGCAGCCACAGCAGCAGCAGCAGCTTCCTCCCCTCACCTCCCAGCAGCTCAATGACTGGTATGCTGGGCGTGGGGCGTCTCGGGGTTCTGACCGCTGCCCCTATGTCATTCGTACTGGCCCCCGCAAGGGTCGCCCCTGCAACGGTTTTCACACTGAGTATCGTTGTTTTGCCAGGCTTAGTGACGCCTGGCGTGCCAAGTATCCTGATGCTACTGAGTTCCCCAACTGGGCCGAGCTGCTTAGGCGTGATGTGCCTATCTTTGATCTGGACTATGATGTTATTCTTGCTGCTATGTATGCATTGACTGTTAGTGCTGAGGGTGACTGCTACTTGTGTGTGCCGCCTGATCCTGGTATTGACCCCGGTATAAGGGCTGCAGCCCTAGGTGCTAGTGAGTCTGCTCCCCGTGGTACTGAGTCGACTCAGGCCTTGCACACGTTTACACTTGACTCTGGTGCTTCCCGCTGTTTCTTTCGCGATAGCACCACCGTCACTCCCCTCCCTGCACCTGTCCCTGTCTCACTGGCTGACCCCTCTGGGGGCCCAGTGCTTGCACGAGCCACGACTGTGCTCTCGTGCCCGGCGGTCCTTCTGGTGAGCTGTCAGGTCTCCACGTTCCCTCGTTCTCTACGAACCTGGTGAGCAACGCCGTCCTCCAGGATCACTGGGTTGACACCTGGACTCCTGGAGGGCAGCGTGTGGCGATCTGCACGTGCTCCAAGACTGGCCGCCACCTGGCCACGTTCACTCGTGAGCCGGGGTCTAGTCTGTACACCCTCACCACTGTTTCACGCTCCACTCCTTTGTCTCCTCAGCTGTACGCGTCTGCCCAGGTAGCTACCCAGTGTGAGTGCCGCCGCCTGTCGCACGACACGCTTCTGTGGCACCACCGCCTTGGTCACCCCTCCCTTCCTCGCCTTCGTGGCATGCACTCTCGCTCCCTAGTCTCTGGGCTTCCCAGGTCTCTGCCTGCCCTCCCTCCCTCCTCGTTTCCTCCCACAGAGGCTCCCCTGCAGACGCTCCACCTGGATGTGTGGGGCCCAGCCCGCGTCCAGGGACAGGGCCGTGAGCGGTACTTTTTGCTGGTTGTCGACGACTACACGCGTTACACCACGGTCTTCCCCTTGCGCAGCAAGGGGGACGTCCCTGCTGTTTTGATCCCCTGGATCCGCGCTGTGCGTCTCCAGCTCCGCGAGCGGTTTGAGCGGGACTTCCCTGTCCTGCGTCTGCACTCTGACAGAGGTGGTGAGTTCTCCTCTGACCTCTTGGCAGCCTTCTGTGCGGAGCACGGCATTACCCAGTCGTTCACGCTTCCGGCCTCTCCGCAGCAGAATGGGGTTGCTGAGCGCCGCATTGGCTTAGTCATGGAGGTCGCTCGTACCTCCATGATCCATGCGGCGGCTCCCCATTTTCTGTGGCCGTTCGCGGTCCGGTACGCCGCGCATCAGCTCAACCTCTGGCCCCGTGTCTCCTTGCCGGAGACCTCGCCCACGCTGCTGTGGACGGGGGAGGTTGGCGATGCGTCGCGTTTCCGGGTCTGGGGTGCTCGTGCCTTTGTCCGCGATCTCACCGCGGACAAGCTCTCTGCTCGCGCCGTTCCCTGCGTCTTCCTTGGTTTTCCTCCTGACGCGCCTGGCTGGCAGTTTTACGACCCCACCTCGCGCCGTGTCTTTGCGTCTCAGGACGTCACCTTTGACGAGTCTGTTCCCTTCTACCGTCTCTTTCCCTACCGCACTGCCTCTCGCCCCCCCCCGCCGCTCTTTCTCGCTCCAGGTCCTCCCCAGGTAGACCCCCTCCCCGCGCCAGGTCCTGCTCCTTCAGGTGTTTCTCAGGTAGACCCTCCGGTACCTGCGCCTGTTGAGGTCACTGGTGACTCAGGTCCTGCTGGAGGTGGTCCTGCTCGGGGTGCTGTCTCTGGGGGTGCTGAGCCTGGGGGTGCGGAGCCTGAGCGAGAGGCGCCTAGAGGTGCTGAGCCTGGGGGTGCGGAGTCTGGGGGTGCTGTGCCTGCGCGTGAGGAGCCTGGAGGTGCTGAGCTTGGGGGTGTCGAGTCTGAGGGTGCGGAGCCTGCGCGAGAGGAGCCTGGAGGTGCTGAGCCTAGGGGTGCGGAGTCTGGGGGTGCTGTGCCTGCGCGTGAGGAGCCTGGAGGTGCTGAGCTTGGGGGTGCCGAGTCTACGGGTACTGAGCCTACGCGTGAGGAGCCTGGGGGTGCTGGCGCTGAGGGTTCTGAGTCTGCTGTTGCGCGGTCTCCTTGGAGTAGCCGCCTTCGTCCACGTGTGCCTCTCACCTCACAGCAGCTGCAGGACCAGTACGGTCGCCGTCAGGGTCGCACTGCTGGTGCCCGGGGCTCTACTGCTGGAGTCGCTGGTTCCGGAGGTGCTCGTCCTGGGGGTACTGGAGCTGCTGGGGCTTGGGGTGCTGGTTCTGGGGGTGCTGCTGCTGGAGACACTGAGGTTGGAGACCCTGGGGCTGGAGGTGTCGGTTCTGGGTCTGGAGCTGCTGGAGGTGCTGGAGCTGCTGGAGGTACTGGAGCTGCTGGAGCTGCCGGTACTGGCGCAGCTGCGCCGACACGACTGTTCTTTGCTCCACCGTCTCCGTCGTCTCTGCCGCCGTCTGACTCTGCTCTTCGTCAGGTTCTTACTCTCCCGTCGTCTACTGGTCTTCCGTTACAGCCTGGCTCACCGCTGCCTGCTCCTTCTCCTTACACCGAGCAGACAGGTAGTCCTGCTGAGCGTCGTGAGCCTGCATCGCGTCCTGTCTCGCCTGCTCGTCCTGGTCGTACCGGTCGTCGTGTTCCTCGCTCGCGTCAGCCGGCTGTCCCCAGCGCACACCTCGTAGTCCGTCGTCCTTCCTCTGCTCCGCAGCCTGTTCCTCTGCCGTCTCCTCCTGCGTCCTCGTTGCCTGACGTTCCGGACCCTGCGTCTGACCGGTTTCGTGCTGAGCACCCTACTGTCACGCGTCTGCTAGCCACAGTTGTCACTGACCCGTCGTTTGAGTCTGCTGCTGCGTCTGCTCTTGTCGCTGAGCTTGTTGACTTTGCTGCTGCCTGTCGTCTAGACTTCACTGCCAGTCTTGTTACTGAGTCTGAGTCTGTCTGTCCTCCGTCCGTCGGGGGTGAGTGTGCTCTTAGCACGGACGTCCTTGAGGACAGGCAGGAGGAGTTCCAGTGTCTTGCTGCTGCTTTACCTCATCTTGTGTCCTCGCTACTTGCCCCTGAGGGAGACCCGGATGCACCAGACATCCCGACTCCGCGCTCTTACGCAGAGGCGATAGAGGGTCCCTACTCCTCTCAGTGGCAGGCAGCCATGGACGCAGAGATGGCTTCCTGGAAGTCCACACGCACCTATGTCGACGAGGTTCCCCCACCTGGGGCGAACATCGTCAGTGGCATGTGGATTTTCAGGGTGAAGCGGCCGCCGGGTT